TCAGGTCATATGACCAAGGATGAGGTCATATGAGTCATGCACAGCCATGCACAGCAGGTCACCTGACCATCCAATCCTTCCAGCAGGTTCCAGCACATGCCAAGGTATACCAGCTACTTCCATGTCATAAAGGCTTAGTCATGTCTCTTGACCAAGCAATGAGCTGGTGCCCTGACACTATCCAGCCTGCAGACAATGAGATTGAACTGCATGTAGTAGGACTCAGGCTTATCCTGTATCTTCCCAAAGTAGGTGTCAGGGCACACTGCCAGATATTGAAAGTATCCTCAAATCAGGAGCCCAATAAAAGCAAGAAGCAGCAAGGAGAGCACAAAAGCTCGAATTGTGGTCAACAGTAGGGCCAATGTATCAAATCAGCCCAAAATACCTTTAGTCACATGAGAGGTGCAGTGGAGTCACAAACAGTCTGAGGGGGGTCAAAGTCTAGGTTTGAACATGTCAGGGTAACACCTGCAAATACTACCACTAGGCCAAAAGAGCCATGGTTAAGTGATATTGGTCACATGTTGCTATATATGCTGTACTGGGTGTACCCTGACAGAACACCAGTCAGAGAGTCAAAGAGGTTCAGTGAGAGTTTGATCTAGGTTTGTCACTATCTGAGAGTGGAATTCCTGAGAGATCAGCTCTAAGGGGCATAAGGCTCCTAGAGCTGGTATATATACATGTAGGAAAATGGGAGTATAATGGAATCAAAAGAGTAGCTGTGGGACTGTACAGTTTACCATTGTTTAGGGTGGTGCTTTGAAGAAGTCAAGTGGTTTTGCTTCAGGGTTGGTGGATTTGGGCTATACTGAGGCCAAAGTAAGCCTTTCAGTGTTGATTGTATCAAATTTGCACCAACACTGGGCAAACCCTGACAGTAGGGGGCGACTTTGGTGCCTGGAATGTGGGACATGATGAACTCTGCAGTGACAATCACTTTTGGTTTTCCAACATCTTTCGGTCTTGTGCATGATGAATATACATATGCCAAGAGAGGGGAGACAAGAAGTGTACCTGAACAGGAACTGTTGGTTAAGGTTGCTGATGTCAATAGTATCTGTTAGGGGATATCTAATTCACTTTGATTACAGCTTGCTCAGGCATGATTACTCATGCTGCATCAACCTGACACTGGCTATGCCAGTGCTGTGTGGCCTGTGGACTGGCTGTGGTAGGACCATGTGGCATTGTGCAGCATGACAGCTGATGACTAGCCACCAGCCAGTGACTCATAGCAACAAGGCCTATGACTTGCCACAACTGGCCAGAGATGACTGGCCATGACTCACTATGACTAGACATTTTCCTCCTTCTCTTTAGTATAAATACCTGCCTGTTTAGATGATGATATCCTCAGATCTGGTCTCTGAGGAATCTCCACTGTACTTTGATAGGGATAGTACTCTGCAGAATATACCTCTGTCACCTCATCAGCACCTTATCCCCACCCCTCAATGACAACTTCCTCTCTCCACTTGACTTTGATCTCTACTACATCTGGGCAGCCTCTGTCAATTATAGTGTGCCCTCACAGTATCCATGTCAATCACATGAATATCTGCAAATCCCATCAGGGCCAAATTTGCCAAAATCTCGCACCCCAGCCCCCCAGTGCTGATGATGAGCACCTTGCTATCTTCGCATAAGAAGCACTGAACAGCTTCACTGCCAATGAAATTGGGGTCAGTGCTGGGCCCCGGATGGTCCAGGAGAGTGTCTACATGTTGGAATCTGTTGGGCCATGTTGGTGCTGGGAGTGGAGTGGGGAGGGAGATGTCACCCATTGTTGGTTGGTGAGGTGGTGAGTGCAAAGCATCCAGTAGGCTGTAGACAATGAGCAGGCTGAAGGGAGCAATGACTGTGACACACGGGAGCAAGCTGGGTCAGCAGGAGAGCACAGCCACTGTTTGGTTTATCATCGATTGTTGAAAGGGACCCTAAGCAGGTGTACTCACTCCTGTGCTCGTTCCCTCTCAGCACGCCATAATGTCCTGCAATGTAGGCTACAACGCCGGAACTGACGGTCACGCCGTTCTAACTTGAAGGCTGTATCGCCAGACCTGTGCTCGAGGACCTTCCGAGCCGAGGCAAAATCGCCTGCCTCGATTTCTCTGATCAACGAGCTACTACCTGGTTGACTCCCCAATTTCCCTTGGCAAATTGCCTTCCAAGGAGATCAGGTGCGTTTTATCACTACTCACACGAGACACGGACTTGACGACGTCCTCATCATCCCCTAGGTACATGCACGGTAAACAAGTCTAACGCACCTAGGGAGGTTCAAGTCCGTCCTTGCTCATAGGAACTTGGAAGATGCCTCAGGGAAAAGCGCAATATCCCACTGGGATCGGTGTTGGCTTTGACTATATTGATACCGCTCAAGTCTGTGAGTCTGATTCCTCCTGGATCATGGAGCGGACTGGCGTGCTCATGTTGTTCAGACAGAAATCAACTGCAAGTGGGAAAAGCGCTGAAGGAATCTGGGATAAAAGGGAGGGACATCTGGGTGATCGTATGTCCCTCCTACCCTATTCCTCCTTGCACGGGCTAACGAAGGACAAGACGAACTGGTCTGGAGTGGCCGCGACCCGCGCAGGGGATCGATCAGAGCCTGGATAAGTTTAGGCTGGAGTGTGCTATGTCGATTTGTATTTTGTGAGCACTCCGCTCCCCTCCGGCTGCGGATCCACTAACTCAAGCACAAATCCACGTAAGTCGCCACTATCGTGTATGCACTCCTTCCCACCCTGGGCAGTCTCGCCTCAGCTCGTGCGACCCGACATCCCCCCAGGATAGCCCGAGAAGGTCGATATCTTCGAGCAGGGCCAAGCCGAGTCCATCGGCTTCTCCAACTTCCTCATTTCCGACTTGCAGGAACTCGAATCCTCTGCCATCACGCCAACGGTCAACCAAATCCTGCTCCATCCTACGTATATGCGGAGACCAAGCCCTTGCTCGACTACTGCGGTCAGAAGGGCAGCATCATCGAGGCTTATTCTTCCTGATGCCGCTCACCCAATACCCCGGAGGGCCGGTGGACAAGCCTGTGTATGCGACTGCGGAACGCCTGGGCGTCGCCCCCGAGCAGGTGCTCCTTCCGTGGATCAAGAGCAAGGGAGCGGTCATCCTCACTACGATCAGTAAGAAAGAGCAGTTGGAGCGGTATCAGGCTGTTGCGAACATCGACCTCACAGACGAGGATATCGGTACGTCTCTCCCCCTTCCCTATCTCCTGGTGGACAGAAGAGCTGACAAGGGAACAGAGGCGATCGAACTCGCTGGGGCGAAAGGCCCGGGACTGGCACGCTTCAGGAAGTACGTGAAGCCAGTTGTTCTGGGACTGGTGTTGCAGGGAGCTGCGTACATCACCTACAGGTGGCTGCTTTGAGTGCAATTATACGTGCGAGCCATACGTTGGGGTACACGTGGCGCCTCGTGGCTTCTTGATCTAGTGTCCTGTCAGAGGCAAGGATTCGTCATATTGGGAGTGTGTGCAGGTGTTTGAGTTCTGTTTTTCTTATGAGCAGCTAGGCATCACGCCGGAAAGCACATTGGAGCAAATTCGTCGGGCCTACAGGGGTCGCATCGCTCAAGGTGCATCCCGACAAGGTGCGCACCTTCAACTACCAGTCAAATTGAATCCTCATTGATTTGTTTGATATGGTGCAGAATCCATCACCTGAAGCCGCAACACTATTCCACGCTCTGACACAAGCGTACAACTTTCTCCCCGACCCTACCCAACGCAGTGCCCTCGACGCATCCCTCGCTGCTCGGCGAGCACGAGCAGCACAACTAGCCGCATCCTCAGAAAAGAAATGCACAATGCTGGAAGAACTCGAGTGCGCAGAAAGGGCAGCGAAACGCTTCAAGGTCGATAGTCTAGCCGAAGAGAGGAAGAAGAGGGAGGAGGAGGAACGGGTCAAAGCACAAGGTCGGAGGATGCGGGAAGAGGCACAGAGACGAGCTGAAGAAGGACATGAAGCTGCTATGAAGAGACAGGAACCCACAACCCCGGTGAACGTAGATATAGACGAGCTGGACGGGAAGAAAATTTCTCCTATGGAACTCACGCTCCTCTTACGGCTACCCTACCCCCCACCAACCGCTTTTTCCCTCCTAGATTCCCTCTCCTCGCTCGGACCGATCGACACGTCATCTTTCCTCCTGCTCCCTCCAAAGCCATCCAAGAAAGAGCAGGAAGGGAAGAAGAAAGGCGGAACTGCTGTCGTCCAGTTCTTGACCAAACGAGGTGCTCTAGCGGCGAGCCAGGCTGGTGGGAGACGAGATCTGGGACTGGAGGGAGTGAAAATGGAATGGGCTGCTGGCGAGCCTGCATGGGTGGCGAAGGCGCTTGAAGAGACATCCAAACCGGTACGTCTCTGCTGGCTCCGACAGGACCTTGGCTAACCGACGCTCAGAAGATGGATGCACCGAGTCTGCCGAACTTTGACTTTGCCGACCAGGGACTGGATTACGAGAGCCTTACGCTAGCTCGGATGAGGCGCGCTGAGAGGGAGAGGCTGGAGCGCGAGATCAGGGAGCAGGAGGGCGAGTAGGGTCGGTGATCCATGATGATTGTGTGTACTTGTGCTGTCTCTTGGGTGTGGCAAGAGCTCATACGCTAGATGTCCATGTCAAGACAGGAAGTATGGATCCGCAGTAGGTTGGGATCTTTATACTCGGAAGATGAACGGTCATCACGCTGGCAGTCTTTCACACAGATCTACGATGCGGTTGAGGTACACAAAACTGACGCTCACATGCGCATCATGACCCTCTGTCATGGAATCGACATCTTCCTAGTGCAGGCGAAGAGAGACATAGGC